GGGCCCTGAACAGTGCTGATTTTACACTGTTTTCAATGGGGCTTGAATTAGTGGACTGGACCCACAGGCTATCGGAAATGCTCGAAAGCTCTTCAAACTTTGAATTATTTAACATATATATCTACGTATTTATACAGCACATACCATCGCATGATGCACGCATGCGTAGGCTATAGGACTGTAGTGCCGCTTCGCGGCATCCTTTACGTTTGGTGACGTGAGAATAAATTATCATATGTGTGAGGTACCCAGCCAATAGCAAGCGTTTATGTAAGTTTTGGCCTTTCCCATAGTGGAAAAAATATACACAGGCTGTATATCCCACGTGTATCCTGTCATGCCGGTGTCACATGAAAATCCGACCCCCATGAAAATCGGACTCCTTTTCCCTCTTATTGAATAATCCCGCTAAAGTCAACAGTCACTCGCCGACATTCAGCTAATTAACATAAATGCGCTTGCGCGATACTACCAATGAGTCCACTTTTCACGGAGTCGGATTTTCATGCGACACCTGTCAATGCAATCACGAGGAGAGGCTATTCATAAGCATGACGTACATTCGAATCTTGAATACTGGGACATCCTTTTCCCTCATTGGATAAATCCTCCCACGTGACCGGTTCTTGGATAGGAGTGCAGACCAATCCGAGCAAGCGGCATGGTGGTGCCCACGCGTATCGCAACAGCTGCACACAGAGCTAGAGCGCATGAAAAACCGTGTGAAACGTATGGGTACCATGCCGCTTGCATTTGTACTAAAGGAATGACGTTTAGTCTGGTGCCTTGCGCGTGTCGCCGCCGATGGCCGTGGCATCCATTCATTGCTGTCATATAGCAAATAACCGGCCTAAAAGAAGATTCGGCTTATTTGTAAAGAGAGGGTGTTTTGATATATTAAAACATGTTTTTCTTAATCAAAAAATATACTCAACCGACAAACACCACGTTTAAAGAGATGTTTTCAGAGGAGCATGATTGGAACTGGAATCAAAACTAGCACCCAAACTGCTCGATTTTTTTGGCGTTCTCAAGCGCTTGTAACAAGAATCTCACAAAAGTGCCAAATTTTAAAAGGATAGTTGTGTGGGTGTTTATATGCTACTTTTGAATGTTCTTTCTGATTAACGTGGTTTCGTTGAAAGCGCGTTTTGAAGCCCAATTGGGCGTATTCCAAGACTTAGAGCCCCTTAAGATTATCAGACTACATTTCTTGATCTGACCCCAGGTTAACGACAAGCCAATATTACACAGATCATCCATGATCTAAGATGCGTGTGTTCTAACACCACGATTAAAAATACTAGAGCTAAAACGTCATTTTGAAGAGTCCAGCGTTGTACGTTCTTCTTGTGGCATAACACGCTTCGACAAGCAAAAACAATAAACCACTGATGCAAATAAACAGATCCATGAAACACTATCAATTTATAGGCATAAGAAATAAATACAAACTACTTGGAAAATGTCAAAGTTGAACGTGGGAATCTGCAGTACGTACCAGTGTTGTAGTTGAGACCGACGCGAGACCAGCGAGACCGTCACAAGAAGTACCGACACAAGATTAGCAGTCTCAAGTCAACTTCCAATCTATTCAAATGAACTGCAACATGGGCATTCCATTGTCATTGTTGTGTCTGTTGCTTGTGAACGGTCTTCTGACTGGTCTTATGCCGGTCCCGACTACAACACTGGTCTGGTATGTACATGACAGAGTCTGGAGATAGATAACAATTAAATATATGAGCGTCCTACCCCCTAGAAATATGATCCGTTTTATTCAACTTTAATCTGATAGAATATTTGAAATGAACATAAATGATTTTTAAAATAAACTTCCCAAGTAAGACAGCAGTCTTAAATAGGCTTACTTCAATTTTAAAAATCGGGGAAATTTCCGGGGAAATGCACAAATCCACAAAAATACAAACACACAATATAAAGATAGATTTATCATCTTCCCGTTTCTTTTCAAGTTTTGTGGGGTCACCCTTTTAAGCACAAATGATAAGTGGGTCACAATACTCCTGGGCTACATGATTAAACAAATTTAAAACCCACTTTTGATGTAAATTGGTGTCTCACTATACTGTGTTAAATTGTACCCAAGGTACATGAACTTGATAACCCCAAAGTGATTAATGATGTGATTATAAAATTTGTACAGTATGTAAAAATTTTATCTTTCAAAGAATACTTCAAAACACCGAGAACTTTCTTTTATTAAAATATTTTCTTTACAATTTGTCAAAAATAGGAATAAAAAAACATCAGATGACAATCTAGAAGATTTGTGCAAGCTTTAAAGGGACTGATCAGTATTTGCAAGGTCTGACAAAGTGATTATTCAAATCAGTCTCTGAAAGTATGTAAGGAAAGAGGAACAGTAGCTTTAGTTTGATTTCTTGTTCTCATGAATTGGATTAAATACAATGGTTCACAATATATGACCGGTCAACACAAAACTTGGACAAAGTAGGAAAAATCATGTTTTCTTTTTGAAATTTTTGATATTGTCTACTTTAAATTCTCTCGAATGGTATAAAATGCCCCTCTTTTGGTATCAACTATGAAAGGATAATGACCTTATCAACGGAAATGTCATTTCGTAGAAAAACAGCTTTAAAGTAAAGGGAGTGAAATTGAAGTATGCACAAAACAAATACAATGAACAGGGCTCCAATTTATGTGGCTCAATATCTGATCATATTCGTATTTTCAAAATGATGCGTGAATGGTTGAAGCTTAGTAAGGCATGCAAAGCTGAAAATGGACAAACCCACCCAAAATAGACTTTCCAGGTTGTTTACAAAGAAATGCATGCTGGAGACTTTGTCCAGGTTTTGCACTGACGGGTCATTTCTATCTTTATAGTGAAAAACGAATTACAAAATGTTTTTTTTTTTGTTATTTTGTCATGTACAACCAAGAGTTGTACCAAGAGTACAACGCAATGACCAGTTACAGTTAGGCACAAAGCTTGCCTCCTCCAAAATCTAACTTTTAATATGTAGTGTCTAGACCTTATAATTAGTTTCTTATAATCTAATGTACCTCAGTGCCTGAACAAGGAAGGTCAACCCTTCAATCATGATCGACAGAGGTAATGACATTATGAACAGTGAACCATGAATACCTTTCTATAAAAATTCAAAGTTGCAAACAGCGAAAAAGGTGTACTCAATCCTGTCTTTATGTTTAAAAATAGTGTGTTCCCAGAAAGCTAAATATGATAAATCATCATATTTTATATATCATGAAATTTACGTATTAACCCTGACCTTTTATGGTTACAAAAACATGTAGTGTTCCCTGAAACCCCCAAATTAGCCAGGTATGTCATAAACAGATCCATGAAACACAAAAATCATATCAATTTATAGGCATAAGAAATAAATACAAACTACTTGGAAAATGTCAAAGTTGAACGTGGGAATCTGCAGTACGTACCAGTGTTGTAGTTGAGACCGACGCGAGACCAGCGAGACCGTCACAAGAAGTACCGACACAAGATTAGCAGTCTCAAGTCAACTTCCAATCTATTCAAATGAACTGCAACATGGGCATTCCATTGTCATTGTTGTGTCTGTTGCTTGTGAACGGTCTTCTGACTGGTCTTATGCCGGTCCCGACTACAACACTGGTCTGGTATGTACATGACAGAGTCTGGAGATAGATAACAATTAAATATATGAGCGTCCTACCCCCTAGAAATATGATCCGTTTTATTCAACTTTAATCTGATAGAATATTTTTAACGAACATAAATGATTTTTTAAAATAAACTTATGAAATTTAAGTATTAACCCTGACCTGAGCATTTATGTACAAGCTGGTTACAAGCGCTGCATGCACCAGACATCATGCAGACCTGAAGTGTTTATTAGATACATGTATGTTTTGATGACAACATTGCCAAACCTTTTTGTAACCTTCGCCTGCAGGCACATTGCTCATTGAACACTTTGGTTCTCACCAACTGCCACCGGATGGACCAACTGTTGAGTTGAAGAAATTCGAGTACATCTTTTTTGCCTGAAAATAAGCAAATTTAAATGTTTACATGCTATTTGAAATAGAGGTTTTTCAAACATCAGAGGTTGATTAGTTTAGGATGGGGGTGGCAAGTCTCATACCAGCAACCCACCCTGTGAAAACCACTTGTGGATAGCCCTGGTCGGCCCTTTATTCATGTACAGCAACAAGGCATTTTTTTTACACATGTAGAGTGTTTCAGGTGGCACAAAAAGGCAACTCAAATCTGGGTAAATGTTGGATACAATTGAAAGACACACTCAGGATACCACAAACACAAGGATATGTGACTAGGCAAATGCCTGATAGCAACCCATTCCCAGGGGGCTCATGAAATCCAGTGGAGTCCAGACCACAGTCATAAAGCTGTGTAGTCTGTCCTTGGTGTGGGAGAGGGAGGACATCCCCCTCAGATTTCTCACTTCCAGCCATTTAGGAAAATTATCACTGCAATCTATTTGTACGGTGGCACCACACAGGCATCACTTGTGAATGACTTTCTAAACACACTTTCTTGGAGATATTAATGGTTACTATGGCAAAAATGTGTCAGGTGGGACAATAAGATGCTAACCTCTGTACTCCCAATATGCTTATAAGCATAATTGTAAGTGAGTATGCTTAACCACAAAAGCATAAGTTAAAAACAATGGCCGCCCATAGTGTATGCAAGCAGAGCTATAACAGACACTGAAACACTCTACGCACCAACTGAAAAAGAGATGCTGGAAGTGGTTTTCGCAGTGGATCATTTCTACAAGTAAACCTTTGGGGTGATCATCACCAGAGTTATGAGCGATCATAAGTCACTTGAAATGATCCTAAGGAAGCTGCTTGTGAAAGCACCAAAGCGACTCATCGCATGCTTCTAAGCCTGCAAAAGTATGAGTTCGACATCACATACTGCTAGGGCAAGAAGATGTACCTTGCTGACGCTTTGTTGCACGCTGTTGGTGACCAGCCCACAGACCAAAGCTGAAATGGTTTTGAGGAGGACCATATACTGTTGTGACCCTCTTAATTCATAAGTATGTAATACTATGTGTGGCCCTCTTATGTAATAAGTGGCACATCTTACTGATTTAATATTCCTGAAATACTTTTCAACTATGTGCCTATAGAGCCTGAAGTTAACCCCTGGTGGCACGCTTTCGGAACCCTCAAATAGGAAAAAATACTGTACATGTGAAACTCCAAATATATTCAATTACATTTTACTTGTTTGAAGCTCAAGCAATTAAATGACTGAAATAACCTTCTATAAATACATGTACCCTTCAAATTTTCAATTTATGAAAAATAATCATTCATTGGAAGGAGTAGTATCGTAAGAAAAACTCGACATCTCACTTCCGGCATGTCTAAACTACATGCAGTAAAAATTTCACACGCTGTGTGATACTAGTTTTACGTCCCACAAACATGGGTTGTTTCAGTATTGGCTGAAATACATTGCATCATGTCTATTACTTATCGGCTAAAAGGTGTAACATCACAGCCAACAGCCATGTTTACATTCTCGTTATCATGCGAGAGGGCAACACGTAAGGAATGGGGCAATACGCCAGCATTTGTCCTTTGGACTGGTAAAAGGTAACAAAAGAAATTAAATATTCCCCATTTTCCCAGTTTTGTTTCAACAATTTTATTCAATAAACTAGAAATGTGTTTGTGAACAAACACTGAGATGTTTTGGATTAAAAAGAACTGCATATGACGTCATCATGACCTCACTTCTCTTTATGTTTTATTCGTGCAGGGACTTGTTCTTTGCCAACTTTGTAGTCAATGAAAGTCTATTTTGCGTGTTTTTGCGCTATGAGAAAGAGGTATTAAATACTCAAAACTTAATAAAATAGCAGTTGATGACGTCATCATTACGAAATTCTCCCATTTTTATTTAAACGAATCCGAGTTAGACCTCTCTAACTCGGAAAGAAAACATCCATTCTGAAATGACAGCTTTCCCCAGTGGACAATTTTTATTGCCCCCTTGTGGTGATAAACCAGTAGTCCTATGCTTTTGACCTCTGCTAAGGGTACCTGTCCTTGGTACAAAGTGAATGACAGATTTATGTCATCCTTTGCTGGTTGTGGTCATTCATTGCTGCATTGATCGCTGACTTGCTGCTCAGTCAGTGCGTAGTGATATGAAAATCCAAAAATAAGAATTTAGAGTTTATTGTCACGTACATTTATAATCTATATGAAATGTTTGGTGCACGTATAAAAAAGCAATTTGTAACAAAGTAATCATTTGCAGTCAGAAAATCAATGAAATAATTGTGTCATCAGTTAAAATGAAATATTTTGGGGCCTTTTTTCCTTTC